CAGAGGGGGATTCATCTCCCGATATGGGATTGCCTTTCCTGCTACTAGAGAGACTGAAATTATCTCAGAAGGCAACCAAAGGATGATAACTCCATTGTTTAGGTTTCCACATTCAGTGGGGCTTGCTGGTATTTGATCAGCAAAATCAAGGTCCGCCATGTTGATTTAAACAAATGAGAGCAACAGATGCATGCAGATAGAACCCATTCCTTTGTGATGAAACATTAAAGCAAAAAGGGCTGAAATTCACCACTTTGTCCAGGCAAACTATTTGTAAGAAAGAGGTTAAATGCAGTATTGTAATGTGGCAGAACTATCACTTATATTTTTGGTATGCATTTGATTAACCTGGTTCAGAGGGGGGGCTGTGCATGTGGCTTAATGGCACTGATTTAGTTTTAGTGTTGGTGTGCTTCCTTTGTCAGTCAGCACATGGACAGAAGTGTAGAAATGCACTCGTGAGAACCTAAGTTTAATGAAATAAATCTTTCAGACTGTTTAGAATTTTGGAATAGTTCTTCAGGTTAAAGCTGGTTTTGTGGGATGTATGTCTTGCACAGATGCTCTGTGCATGTCTAACATGTCAGATTGAGTCTAATGCTACTTTAGATTTAGCTTTTTTGGATGATGCAAACTGTTTTCTAAAGGGTTAGATGGGCTATAGCATTATCTTTATTTGATGTAATAATCTAACTCTGAAGAACAGAGAGTGATTGATTTTAGTGGGAACAGATTTATTTATTTAGAGGAATATTTGAAAAGTTGTTAATTGGAAATCTGACCTGTAGAAAGTTCAGGTCTTAGCTTTCATTGGTCGAAATTATGTGACTGTTATGTAATAAATGACCTATTTGACTTACTCAATTAATGTATTGGGGTAAGGAAGGGACAATATTTTTCTATGTAATGCTTATATGTAACGTACACTACCTTTAAATTGAAGAATAGTGCAGTTTGTTGGCATGAAGCTACTGTTGACAAGCATTGATTGGGGAGGTACAGGAGCAAGGTATGCAAAGGTGTTCAAATGAACAAGCAACCAACGCACGTCCTTTGAGTTTTATGTTAATGCCCCCTAAAGGGCAAATACTTTTTTAAAACTCCGTAAACTCCACTGATTTCTCTCTACTTTGTTACAGGAGAACCTTTTGATACAATGCAGCCTCTAAACTATGCAGTCTCTAACATCATCTGCTCCATGGTCTATGGCAACAGATTTGAATACGATGACCCAGAATTTACATCGATGGTGGATCGAAC